GACCGCAACTGCAATTATCCCTTTTAAAAATTATAAATGTTTTGGATAATGTATATTTTTAAAAAAATAGAAAATGTTAAATATATATTTTTTGAATTTATAGTTTAGTTAATTATAGTAAGTAGTGTTAAAAAAAATAAATAAATAAAAAATAAAAAATGACGTCATTTTTTGACGAGCTGAGCTCGCCCAAAATCCAACGAGCCGAGCTTCGTTGGAAACGAGCTCGGCTTGTTGGATTACGAGCCGAGCTCGTGTGGCTCGGCTGGTCCATTGCCACCACTACGTGGGTATATGGACTGAGTTGGCTCTACTCAATCAGCTCGATCTGTTGCCATCATTACATATACTTGAAATGTCAACCAAAATTTCCACCGCTAATTTTTAAAAGAAAAATAGAAAAATATTGTAGTTGAGAATCGAATCCCAATAACCAAAGTGTAAATAATAAACATTTGTCACTAAGTTGCAACCGCTTTGTTATTAATAAACTAACGGCTTAAATTGTATTATTATTAAAAAAAAATAGAAAAGCTAGGGGGTTTGGGAGGCCCAAGCCCCCGGCAACCAAGTTCATCACACCTTCCATAACATACACACATTTTCATTACATTGCACATTGGAAAATAGATATATTTTACCATAACTTTAATGATGTCTATTGATTGAAGTCGGAAAAAAAAGCTATTGAAGTTAAAAATACGAAGAACACATGTAAATATAAAATGAATGTGTCAGTCCATGTTTGATAGGAATTAAAATATAAATTTTAATTTAAGTTCAATCAATAATTAATTTGAACCATATATTTCATATGATCCACAATTTTTCAACCATCTATTTCATCACCTTTAATCAAAATATATTTAAAAAATTAATTCTAATCCTCACCAAACAGGGCCTTAATTAATACCTATTCTGTGAGGGTATAACATGCAGTGCAGAGAGCACTGGGCTATAAACATGCCATGCCTTTCTTTGTTCAAAACATGTGTTTAACAAAATAATTGGCCTATTATTGTTAAAGCTCCCAACATCTATATTCTCTCTCTTTGTATAATCCAAGCTCTAGAATCGAATGCTAAGTGGATTTAACTAAGAAGCCATTGTGTAGAGTTCCCTAAAAGTTTGTTACTAGGTAGAAAAGGTATAAAGTAATAGTCAAAATCATGTCAACTTCAAAATCCAAAGACATTCACAATAATATCTTTTTTTTCGTACTTTCTTGTAGAGTAAATATATTAACCTATTGTTGCATTTGAGTCTAATTACGAAATAGGGCGAATCACCTTGATAGAACTTGTACTTGTTTTAATGCCTGATTTGAATGCTTGCTCCATTGCCAATCCTCCCATCTAACACCACGTTCAATGATGGAATGAGCCCACAAAATGCTTCATCAAGTAAAGATGGTTTATTCTCGCTTTTAGAAAAGAGCAATGACAATTCCAAACCATAAGGACTTTTTGAAGCGAAGAATTAATGCAAGTTGAAATGTGCCGACCTTGTTTAGCTAACACGACAACATTGAAGGGTTTTAGATGTGAGGGTGTCACATCCATTCGCCTCTGCACTATATTTCTTGCTGCAGCTTCCACTTTTTTGCAACTTTACACTTTAAATGCTTGAAAGTTGAAACGTTTATTGAACTTACATATGAAGGATTTCTTATCACATTAAGGGGCCTTCATAGGGTTTCCTTTGAGATTTTTTTCATCCAAATTTCACCTTTCCCCCATAATTTTCCCTTCTTGTTTCCTTTTTCTTTCCCTCTTTTTTCTTTTCTTTATTTTCTTAAGCTTTTCTAGTGAGAAGAGGGTGGATAAGTACAAGCTACTTTCACAAGGATTTAGTCTTCGTTTGACATGACTTTTACTTTTAATTTTGCTTCATGAGGAAGAATTTAAGAGTTTTTAGAGAAATCTACCTTAATTTTTGTTTGAAAACTAATTTATAAAAGTGTTTTCTATTTCGGAAATATTTTTAGAAAAAGTCACATCAGACCAACTTCTTCTAAAAACACTTTTAACTTGAAAAACAATAAAAAAAAATGCACTTTCAAATTTACTTTAAATTCAGATTCAAGGTTCTACCTTTGGACCCATTTTCAAGTGTTGTCCCATGATTTATTATTTACAACTTTTATACTCTTTCAAAGCTCTCATTGCCTCATGACGAAAAGGTCAACAGCAATTAAAAATTAATGTCTT